ATGGTTTGTGAAAGTGGATGAATATTCTAGATGGTACTCTTCTTTCACTGGCAAATTATTTTGGTCCTTTTGAGAAAATTCGAAGCTTATAATGGGAGAATTATTTGCAATTCGTCAAGATCTGCATTTTTTTACAAGGAATTGTCATAGCGTTGTATAGCAGGATTACACAAGTTGTATACCAGATGAATTTCATTAGGGATTACGCAAGCGATGAAGATGTTCTAAGTGAAGGCGTTATTTACTGAATGAATTGGCGAACAAGTAAGTAGCCACTGCCAATAGCGTACCAAGACGATGATGCTTTTCACAAGCATAACATTTTAGTTATGGATCGTTCAAACGATATCACCGGACCGGAGTGTGAAGATAACATCTGTCCAACAAAGTGTATTACCTACCAATATCATACATCGATTTCCTACGGTCAAGGATTCTCAAAAAGCGCACTGAATTGGTTCTATCACAGAAACTCGAATTGGACCGCTGAACGAGTCCAGTAGGTGGCACTTATAGCGATCGATCTCTTACGAAATCTGCTACCATATTGAGCGTTCTTGGAAAGAATGTTCACAAAATTACTGAAATTTTTGAGCTGTTTGGAAATAATGCCAATACCTAATCAGCAAAAGCTACGAGCACACGATCATTATCGTGTTGGTTCAGTGGACAAGGTGGCTTCGTGTTCTAACTCGTTGAAATTATTTCAGGAAGAACTTCGCAGTGCTGAATGTCTTCTATCGAGAAATGTCCTACATATTCAACGATCAGGTGCAGTCAACCACATTGGTGCATGTACTAAGTAAGTAAGGTAGAGATGAATCATTTGAATTCTTGTTTCACTTTGTTCCACCTGTACGTGGAGATATGATACAGTCAGTGTAATTGTTACTCGCACTGTTGCTATTCACTTGAAGTGCTTCGGCGGCGCTTTTTTTTTTGCCGTGAAACAAGAGTTGTTCAGGTAATATTGGTGGTAATATGGGTATGTTCTTTGGTGCGAGTGTTATTACGATAATTGAATTGGTGATTTATTTTGCGAAGATGTTTTGGATTGGTCTGTCCAGAAAACGGAGGGAGTATATGGCTGTTAAGAAGAAGAACGAATTGGATCGCGAGCATCGACTCAGAGCCGTTCTCGAGACTGCTGCAGCCAACACCACAACACCACAAGTTAGTTGGTTGTGTGTGTGGGCAAAATGATCTTCATTCTCCAGTTGAGTGCGAAAGGTGTGATCATCGCAGATCTGAAGATATGATGCAGATCTGATAAGCATTCATGCATCATCTATCGGCAAAGTTGACGCAAACAACGCTGCAGTGCGTCATTCTATGCACTGAATGTGAATGATCAACTTTCCTCTTTGC